GGTAATCTAGCCTTGCCTTGCCCCTTCCTTTCCTGACCTTGAGTTTAATGTATTTCCATCCTTCCTGGGTTTCTCTGCTTCTGTAGGATGTTGGGAAGTCTGGCATCCATAATTCCTGAGAGGAAGAATGCTCACCACAGTATTCGTCAGAGTTTGGACTCACATGATAATGTAGAAGTCGAAGCTGCTGTTTTTGCTGCTGCAAACTTCTCTGCACAGTCAAAGTAAGCATGGACCTTTTAGTAATTTGGCTTCCCAAGAAAAGTTTTTGAAGGAATAACTGATCAATGCATTAATATATAAACACTAAGGGATACAGGAAAATGCAAATGGCCAGGTGTATTTTCCAGGAAGGTTTACATCATATTGGGGAAACAAGACTTAAATACATAAAATAGAAAATTTAAGTACAAATGTTGGCATTACTTATAAATGAAATGAGTTTCCGGAAAGACAGGGTCAGCATAGATTAAAGTAGCTGGGGAAGGTTTCATTGGGTAACAGAAGCTTTGTCCACGGAGGAGCCTCTCCCAAACATACGTTTGTAATGCGGGCAGTCCCCGGGTTACGGATGGACAGTCTGCCTTATAGTGTTTTGTACTTACAAACGGGCTACCAAGGCTCCCCATAAGGATTATTTATGATTAAATAATAATTCAGGAACTAGTTTCTTCCACACACATAGACAAACCTGCATGGCATAGGTGGTTTGCTGATGCAGCATCTTGACCTGAGTGGCTAGTGTCATTGTCAGACGGTCATGCAGTCGCTCATGCATAGACAGCATCACTTTCGTCTTCACTTTTTTTATTCTATCGGGTGAGTCTGTGTTTACCCTTACGACCATGCCTTCAAAGTGAAAATCCACTACAAGTCCAGGTGAGCCTGCAGCGAAGAGAAAGGTGATTACAGCAGAAACAAAAGTAGAAATAATTAAGGGTTCGGAGAAAGGCCAGTTGCCACCACTCATTGGGAAACATTAGGCTTCAGTGGCTTGACCAATTATAAAGGATGAAGTAAGAGTAATGGAACATGTGACAAGCAGTGCTCCAACGAAAGCATCAATTATTAGTAAGTATAATAGATTAATTATTGAAATGGAAAGGTTATTGATTTGGTTAGAATATCAAAGTAAACATAACATTCCTATTAGCCTAGTGTTGATACATTAGGTAAGTGTTAACCTTTAGTATTCTTTTTTGAAATTCCTCCTATTTCCTATTTAACCTTTTTGTATGAGTTTGTTTTTATGTTTGTTTGAATTAAAAGAAAGACCATAATAGTTTCTGTAACTTATTACAGTACAGGGGTATTATTATTATTGTTACAATGTTACATTGTATTATTACCACATATGAGCCATTACAATGTGGTTGTTGTTATTGTTGCTGTATATGCACTGTTCATTAGAGATCTGAGTTACATACAAAGCTGACCTAAAGATGTTCTCAGGCACATTCGCTTCATAACCAGGAACTGCCTGTACTAAATTGTTACTTTCTTATTACCTTCTAATGGTAAGCTTTTTTACATTAGAGCTATGCACCATTTGGCAAAGACAGTAACTTGAATTAAAACCACTTTTAACTTATTCAGATGTTATGTCCTACACTATTATCTTACAGAATGGTCTTTTTGTTGTTGTTATTAAATGTTGACCATGGTATTATTACTGTTTGACTTGCTTGTTTGTCCTCTTTAAAATATATAATATTGCCTTGACTAACTGACAAGAAAAGTAGCATTGCCTTCAAAGGGCATTTTGGTAATATGTAGGAAAAGCCTTAAACGTGTGTATCCCTTTGACCCAGGAAATCCACTTCTAAGAACTTATTCTCAGGAATCAGCAATGTGTACTCATACTTATTTGCAAGGATGCTAGTCGTAGTGTTAATTGTAACAGCAAAAGAAATTAGAAGAAACCTGAATTCCAGCCATTGGGCTTAAGATAAATTATGATCATATAATGAACTACTATAAATTCTTTAAACAAATATATTTTAGAAACATATTTGGAAGAAGGTTACATAATAGCTTATATGATATTATGGGTTTGAAAAAAAC